AGTTAATTATATTATTCAATTCAGTCCAGCTGGGTAATAATGACTGGATGCCATAATTCCCCCTTTTTGTTTTACAGTTTTTTGGTTTTAGGTTTTTCAAGAAGGCTTTACAGTGAGCAGAGACCCGGTCCATTCATTCCAATTCCAGCACGCTTCCCTCCCTCAAATACCACGTCGGGGCTTTCGGCTCTACCGAAGGACTCTTGCTCGGGCTCTGGCTCTTTTGGCTCTGGCTCTCGGCTCCGGCGAGGGAGTCAGGGCTTCTCAGGGTCTCTCAGATGTATCACGTCAGGGTCACCAGTTGTTGCTCACCAGCCTGGGCTGCAGCTCCAAGGACACTGTTGCATCTTCCACAGCCAGGAGGAAATGGCCTGCCTCTTGTAGGCAGGGGCTGTACCTTGAGTTAATTAGTTCATTATATTCAACTCAGTCCAGCTGAGTAATAATGATTGGGTGCCATACTTCTCCCTGCAGGCTAGTCACCTTTTCCCCCCACACCCTCCCCTATCTGCACCTTTTTTTCTCCTTAGAAGCACATGTCCTCAGTTGTTTGCAAAAAAAGACTGCAGATCATCTGTACCACTACAGGTTCAGGGGGCGGGGGGAAGGAAGAAAAGTGAAGCACTACTTGATGGTATCCTTCACAATTTCAGTCCTTTTATTGGAGAGGTTGTGCTATTCCCTTATCTCTAAAAGGATCCCCCCGCTGCAGCAGATCAGCACAGGAAGGGGAGACAGGTCCCTGCATGAGGGAGAAAATAAAGCATAATTCCTATCCTTGCCCCCTCCCTCTCTGGCAGCGAAAAGATTGCAAGAGAAACTTTCAACTGCCTCGCTAAAGCAGAGACAGGTTAAGTAACACTCTACTTAAATAGCAGCATCTGACTTAAATTGATTAGTTAGGAAGGTTATTAAGACTAGTTCTAGTAAACTAAAGAAATGTTGTGCTCCTTACTAGAGAAAAATTTAACTTTTAAAGCTAATATCATTCAGGTAACAGTGAAAATAATCAGTACTCTGTTTTAAGATGTTACCTTTAATCTTTAGTAAATGCAACCATTCAAGAGTAAGGTAATGCTGACCAAAAAAACCATCCAAACATGCACAGCAGAAGGCAGAATTTCAGAACGCAGCCTAAGGCTCACCATTAATCAAAGGAAGAGAAGTCACTGTCATTTTTATGCCTTTAAAATCTAGAGTCATCTTCTGAAAATTGAGTATTCAGTTTAGAGTGAGCTTTTAATTGAGAGGAAAGCTAAGGTGGACTAAAATTTTTAAAGCCTCACATGAGAAAGTGGTATTTATCTTTTTTTAAAAAAAATATTGTGAAGATAACATGGCTTTTACGAATTTGCTCAACCATATAGGCTTTATAGCCTTTTGTTGAAGTGTCCCACTCTCCAACAGAAACAACAGTGGTACAGTTTGACTGTTTTTCATTTTATTAGCACAAAATCATGTAGAGAGTGAAGACAAAGCAAGGAACATACACGTGTACTTAGAACATGGAAAACTCACTGCACAAATGCGAATGATTTCTTCCTTCCTGTGATCTTGCCAGTTACTTCTCTCACCTTGAGTACAAAAACACTGGGATGAACCTTGCAAGCTACCAAACCCAATCTTACAAGCCCGCAGGACTTCCTTAAAAAAACCCTGCAGTTCCATTACCAAAAAGAGGCTCGGCCTAGGTTCAGAACTACAACTGCTGTTAACTGAACTAGAGCACCTGAATTCCCAAGTCTTCTGCTGACTGTGGTAACTTTTGGAGCAGTTCCTTTATGTATTTAGTATCATACAACATCTTTAAAACAAAGGAAAAACATTTACACACTGCATACACCCTAATGTTACTGCATGTATATTCGTTTTTACATAGTTCAATGAAAATCCATTCTATAAGTACAGAAACAATCCTGTGATTATTTCTGACCACATAAATACATCAGTTGCAGACATCGCTTACAGTTGCAGATCTTCTTGCAGAAACTTATAGTGGCACTTGTATAGTCAGTTGGTCCAGTGGCTTCGCAACACCTATACACACATAGGGACAGGTAAAAAGAGGCAAGATCTTTACAGGCCAGGAGCTGAGCTTACTGCATAGCAAGGCTGATGTACAGTATGACATGTGCAGTAACAATACCAATAAATTAGATTAAAACAATTCAGATATACTTCCCATAGTATGAAAGCCAGCATTCACAAAATCAGAAGAAACACTATTCTATTCAGATTGCATGGCAACAAACAAGGAGGTGTTTGCCACAGTACAGAATCAACACACTTTCAATGTCCAGTATTATTAGTAGGTTGTGGCACACTTATATTTAATAGCCATGCAAGGATAACACCCTCTGACATTTTCCTAGGAATTATCTTGATTATCAGAGGGTAGAGAGAGATCCATCATCGAAAGTCAGGAACTTTGTCACTTCTTTGCTTGGGAATTGCTGAAAGTGGTTGCTTTATTCCAGCAGATGGCAGACATTTCAGTTTAGTTAGCCAAGCAGTTTTGTGAGTAGGATTAATCACACGGATTTATGACGTCCATGTTTTTGCAAAAGACAGCAGTTACTTATTTCTGGTTTTAATACTTCCCTTCCATCAAAAGGGGCATACCAGTAAGTGTGGTCTGAAAGCAAAGTATCACGATCTCTTAAAACAAAGCTGCAGGTCAGCTCTCCAAACAAACATAGAATCGCTAGAACAGAGCTCTACCCTGCATCCACCTAACAAGTACAGAATTCACGAGAATACTCTGAGCACACTAGCAAGAGCAAAAACTACTTTATGGAATGATTTGTGAGACCAGCCTCACCAAACAAAAAGCCCGAGTTTCACAAGCCTAAATAACATCGCCATCTTTTTTTTTTTTTCATGACAAAAGGGTCATTAAGCAAAAATGAATATTCTACAGATTAATTAAAAAACAAACAAACAAACAAAAGAACAAATGTTGAGCAAGTGTTTGCGTTTCACACAAAACCTCAACTCAATCATTTGTAAGTTTTGACCAGGCTATCAGTTTGAGACAGACTGTTAAAATAGGACTCCAAACAGAAAAAACACTGCACTTGCAATAAAGCTGGTTTCAAACTGGCATTTCTAACTCCACTGGCCTCAAAGTGTTTTTACAGTAGTTTCAGTTGTCCAACATGAGTTACAAGCTGCTGCTCCACAGTTAGCGCCACTCTTCTCCTGTGAAACGTACTTCAGGCTTTCAGACTTCTCTCATTCCACAAAACTTTGGAGTGAAGAGCTGACAAGTCTATCCAACGTCTTTAGTTTTCCTCTAAACTGCATTCCTAGGTGTGCCATTGTGAGTCACTGCTTTCATATTTGAGGTGCTTGATTGATGGTTGCAGATTCTGTGGGACACAACACCTACTTCAAAGACTTCATGAATGGCTTTGCGGAAGCAATGAAAATTGTAGTCTATCAGACCTGTCAAGAAGGAGAGGGAGGGGAGAGGAAAAACTGTGCTCAGCTGGGCATATTTACATAATCAACAGAGCTTCAAAAATAATATAAAACATTTAATGTAACCAACAGCTATTTTGCTACTTATTTTTGTATGAATTTAGATTCCCAAGATTTAATGCAGTTTTACCATTTTGCCAGTATTTATTTAGACTGTCTCAGTTTTTAGAAAAAAAGGGTACTCATTTGGAATACAAGGTGTATATTCATAATTAAACAGCAGGTGAGGGGCAACACAAGACTCTACCCCCAGAAACATGCTAGTACAGCACAACTATCACTTGAATGTTATATTGCACTTTATGTCATTGATATGTATCCTAACTTTGAGATCAAATACAGTACAGTTATTTTAATAACACATCTGCTTTTTCTCTTTTTAAAATGCCAAGGTAAGTATTGCCACCATTTAAGTCAAATACTTTGAAATTAAGGCCCACAATGTCACTTCTACCCTGTAACGTATGCAAAACCATTCACACCATCATGTCCTACAGGTCCAAGCAACTATATAGTTGGTTAGACCTGCAATGTATTAAACACTTTGTTTTAAGTTCCTACCACATACTGTCCTAGCCTACCACTGTTGATTTCTTCAGTTATATGTTAAAAAAATTACATCAGTGAGACACATGATAGAGAATATGGCTATTCACAATGCAGCAGCTGTCAAGCAGAACATAATAAGCATTACTCCATTCTACTAATTCCACCATAGTAGATGGTAGTGACACAAGCCACATTAGCTCCATGAGGACTGCGATTAAAGCGATGATTCACAAGAATAAAAATAAGACCTCTTTACACCTATTCTCTAGGAAACAAGAAAAACCCTCCCAGAAGATCTTAAACAGATTACAGTTACACAAAAATGAAGGTGACTTGTAAAGTCATATTAATACTTTATAGTTAATAAAAAACATCAGATAAAAGCCATTCAATGGGGAATGTCCTTACCTTTGCGCTCAAAACTCTCTTCTCTAAGAATGCAAACTAATGCCAAAAACTTTGTTACTTCCTTTAAGTACAGAACTGTTGTGTTATTGAGCTTGATAATCGCCATTGACTCTTTATCATAAGCACTTCCAGTGCCATCTTCCTTTAACCTAAGAAAGGAGGAGTTAACCCAAGACATAATCTAATAGACATGCATATGTAACGTCAAGATAAGTATCTGTTAAACGCAGTTAGAAGAATATTACTCATACTGAACGGCGAGCAAGTGAAGAACCTGCAATGCAGGTCTTAATATTAAGTAAGACCATTATCACACCTGAAGTTTCTCAGGAAAGCCAGACCTAAATAGAGTAGAGGCCTTCACTAGATACTATCTACCTTCGATGAGCAGTTAAGAGCAAGCTATCAGCATGCATTCTTTCCATATCAGACTAAGGGCTGTGACTGTTCAGTCGATACTGTTTTCAGCATACAGCTGAGCATTCTTCATGGAGATAGTATAGTACATTAGTTATAGCAGAGTTTACCTTCACACCAAAGAGTCACTGCTACTCACTGTCTCACTGAGTTTACAGTGCCACGGTAAGGTATCGAGTGATTGGTAAGCAGATTCTAATGCAGGTGTTGTACGTAGAAACGTCAATGGAGTGACATCTCAGTGAAATTACTTTTGGTCAATTAATACAAAGGCTTCCCTAGTGAGGCTGGGGTGGGGTGAAGGGAGTGCAACAGAGAGCAGGACACTTTTTGGTCTTAAGCTAAAACCAGCCTGCATTTACAAGAAAAGATTAGGATGCTGTTTCTATCTGCAAGTTATTAGCATCAGTTCAATTATTGTAGAAGCAAAAGATGTATTGCAAGCTACTTCTAAGCACTCACTCCTGAAAAAAAAACAAAACAGCTACACAACCATGGGCTGACCCATCAGGAGACAGACCGTTAAACATTGCCGTATTTCTCAGCAGCACTGTATTCTTCCAGGCTACAACCACAATTCTAAAATAAGTTACCACTTCTCCAGAGCCACTTCAAAAATCCATTATTAATGAAGGATAATTCAGCCGTAAATTGTGAGAAACAAGCACTATATGCAGCCCTCAGAGAAAGTCAGCATGAGCCAAGCTGACCTCGCAAAAGCTATTCTGTTCAGATAGCAGCAAGTCTCAAAGCAATGTGACTGCAAGCTACACTTAACGAGCTATGGCATGCTATCAACCCCAATTATTTGCAGGTATTAACCTACTGGCACCCAGCGTGCCAAACGAGACACAGCACTACATATTTTACATGAAACACTTGACTTCTGCAAACATCAGATAACTGTGGAGGGAAACACTGAGTACAAATGCTCAATCCAGCTGCCAAATCATTTGGCTTTATTCTAGTTACTCACAGAACCAACGTGCTCTACAGACAGTGGACAGCATCTCTCTGGATGACAAAGCCAGCACCACTTGCACAGTTTGCAACCTATTCTATAACTTTTAAGGACTTTTCCTAAGAGTATTCATCACTTACCCATATATACAGGAAACATCTATCACTACATCAATCATGTCACAGCACAACTCATACGACTGCATGTCCACAGGGGAACTGTCTGTTGCGATGTAGATTTTGCTGACTACGTCGAAGAGAAAGGCTTTTTCAATGCCTGAATTCTTTGGAAAGAGAAAGAATTTGGATGAATTTTTAAAATAGCTACATTTTTAAAATCTCAAGTAGAATTCATATACTTTCACATTCTTACTAGCAGGAAATGTTTTAAACATAACCAATTTAGAGGCAATACCCCTTGTTGCAATAATACATATCAACATTACCTTTTAGTTGACTAAAATAAAGCTGGGGACTCAATTAGAATTCTTCTTAGTTTATTATTTACCAGATCATAATTAAGGTTACATTTTACTATGCTTTCAGAACCCAAATTCAGTTCTGTGGTTCTGTTAACTCCAGAAGAGCCACACATTCACATCCACCTGACGGTCCAGGCTCAGAGACCAGTTGCTTCATAGTAGTATGTTGACAGTTAACTTTTACTTGTAGTATCTTGGCAGTTCAGCTACTGTGTGAGGCAGTTGCTGTGTAGTTTAACACGCAGAGCAAATAAAGTCAGCCTCTAAAGTTATGACTCCACAAAGTGTATCACATTATGGCAGTTATGGGTATGGAAAAGCACCGAATCAATTGTACATTTGTACATTCCATTTGTAACTGAGCACTTTGGTAAAGTGCACGTGCTCATACTAAGTTCAGAAGTCTTCTGCTGTTAGGCAAGTTACTGCATACACACTATGGATTTCTGGCAAAGAGTAATTTCCATTTATGCACCGGAAGCATTCCTTATCACTTCTTCCTAGCTAGTCTGAATACCCAAGGCAGTGTCCTGAGGACATCCAGACAATCCTTTGGGCATCAGGGCCATGCTCCATGGCACTGAGCAGGGTGAGCATTAACATGCCCTTTATCCACTGGGCCAGGTTATTACAGACAGTCCTCTACCAACACAGGAAACAAGCACCTTTCAGTAGCATGGGGCAACACGTCTGACTCGCACAGCTCCCCTCTATCACAGCTCTTTTTTTCCATGGTGTCCACATGCCTGCAACAGCCTCGCAGACATAACTTAAATGAGACAGGCTACTTCAGCCTGTGATATTTTATTTGATCATTTGATGTATTTGATTTAAAGTATACAGTAGCAAATTTCTATGTCACAAATTCTGTAAGAAAGGCAACACTACAAGAATAAGGGCAAAAGTGTCACAGGCCACATGAAACAGACAGTTTAGTTCAAGGCCAAGTTCACATTATGAAAAAATTCTCTTGCCAGTACAGCTACGTTAGACTGCTAAGTGCCTTAGCAGATTAATCAGCATATTGTGCTGGCAGAAAACTTGCGTACCATCAGTTATAACTAGCCAAACTATGCTATTTAGAGAAACACGCACAAAGCACGCACCAGTACAATTTAGCTGTGGAAAAGAGCTTCTAATGCAGACAACCGGGCCAGAGTACACGAACATGAGTGGCACCCGAATCTCCCAGGGGCAGATCTAGCCAGCATTCCTTAGCGTAAGGACTTGCTTTACCATTCTGCTTACATCACTCAAACTCTGTTAGATTCACACTTACTGATATAAAGATATTTAGTAGATTTTCCAGTGTTGGCAGTTGCGGAATGAGCTTCTGTACCACTTTACTGAAGGCTTCAAATATTGAATGGTCATAGATACTGGTCAAATAAAAGCTGAGATGAGGAGGGAGGGAAAAGGAATAAAAAAGAATAAAGATTCAAGAGTATTTCAGAATTGCAATAGAAATGTTAAAGCTATGTTTTCTAACATTCAGGCCTGATCATGTAGCCGGGATGCCTTTATCACAAATATACCTGGCCACTGCACCAAGAACATAATTTCTGAGAGACTGGAGTAAACATGAAACAGACTTCCCCCATCCTCAGGAGATAAGGACAAACAGAAAAATTTGAACGTGTTTTCACAGCACAGTCTACAGAACACTTATCACAAAAGCATTAAACACTCAATTAAATTTCTTCAAGTCCCATACCTGGCCTTCCACTTTGTTCACACTAACACTGAGAGATACTGACAATGCTTAAAAGCTCCATGAGAATCAAAATAGCAGTAAAACCAGATAAAAGATAGCTCATTTTAAAGGTTTTGGATAGAAGACAGCTTAAAAGTGAGTCAAATATCAAATAAGAGACTAAGCTTTTAAAAACAATCACGCTGTAAAGTCAGTGCTAGCCAGGACTAGAAGGCAGGCAGCTTCTCCTCTCCTTCCCCTGTCCCTCCAAGTCACATGGACAAATTCAGCCTGCTATGCTGAATGAAAAGCATGCAAAAGGACCTTGAATTAGGAGCAAGTTTATGAATAAATCTGTTCATCGGAATCTGATACAGTAGCCTGCCTTATTTTAGTCAGCCTAATAGCTGAGGCTTGACCATAAATTCAGTGGTGTATTTTATAACAAGAGTTTGTGCAGTATTAAGAAACTAACAAGGCCTTGCTCTGGTCCGTCCACTGTTACATCTAAAAGCCATTAGTCTGTACACATACCAGCAACAGTAGAATCACATACGCCATAATCTTTAACTCACCTAAGGTGAAGTTTCTCAAGCCCAGCATCCGTAAGGTCATCATTAGCCCTCTGATGAATGTCCCTCTGAGTTTCTATTTTGTGGTCATCTGATAAACCATCAACTTTATGAATAAAAACTTCAAAGTTCATTTCCGGGTTGACCTTGTAGGCTTTTGAAACTGTAATGTGGAGTCTTGTTAAAGCTTCCATGTAGTCATCCTGTAAATCAGTTTGGCAGGAATGAATGACAAGGCTTTATCTCCAATAACTATTCCATTCCACACAACGACAAAATATTTCAGTGCAAGAACTTCAGTTCACTTCTGTAATTAAACAGAAGTACAGGAAAAGAGAATACCTTGGAGTGTCAGAAATCCAAGTAGCTTAGATTCTGTTATGTAAATTAAGTTGCATTAACTATACAAGGCTCAGCTACACAAAACTAGGCTTCAGAGCAAAAGGCAGGTTACACTTCAACTCCAGCAAAAGGCAGCAGCGATCTCCAAGACGGTCCTAATAACCAGGTAATCTCCCACAGTGCGATTCCTAGGTTCATTAGAAGCTACTAGATACCCAATAGTACCAGTACTTGAAACCGAGGTGAAAAGTGTGCTGTAATTAAATGAACTCCATAGCAGTCAACAGCAGAGGGAAGGGATAATTCAGACCACGTAGCACAGCAGGTTCTTGCTATTATTGTAGAAAATATTAAGTTCAGAGCACTTGCCCCCTTTTACTCTCTCCACTGGGAGCATATGTTCCAGTCACTTCACAAAACTAAAAACCACACATCAAAACTTAGATTGCCAACGGATCCTTTCATATATAACAGATGTTTTACAAACTTAGATAAAAATATAAATTATTAGCTTCTCGATCATTCCTCTTGCACACAAAGCAGAAAGAAAACTTCCTTGTGATTCTTAGTGATTTGTATTTACCTGGGCATCAATAACATATATTAGAGCACCTGTTCCTCTGAAGATCATCTCGTAATCAAATGTTGGATCAAAAAAGTCCATCTGTCCAGGAAAATCCCATATTTGGAAATTCACAAATGAACTGTTAGAAATATCGTCTTTGTAGATCTTGTTGGTACTTTCCAAGAAGAGAGTCTCATTGGGAGACATTTTGTGAAACACCACCTGTAAAAAGAACACAAATAATAGTCTCGACTTTATCTTATTAGAAGAGATTGGTAAAAGTTCTGTGACTTGAATCTTACAAACAGGTTGTCTATTCTAAAGGGTCCCGTTGTCTATTGGTGAACAGACAGCTTCCTGCATCAACTAAGGAAGTAACCTACCCTTGACCAGAACCAAGCAACCGAATACAGTTAAACATTTTCACAAGTCTAAATAACACTACTGCCTAAACACACAGACATCCCAGTTACTCTTTCTTCCTTGCAAGTCTAACGCAGTATTTTCAAATTCTGCTATATTAGCCAATTCAGATCTGGTATAAAGCCATCATGTTAATTAAGCAACTGCAAGCTTTTAAGAACTGTTCCTTTCCAGTCTTAGAAATTCCTAAAGAAAACTGCTTTCAGTCTGGCATCAAGCGTTACAACACAATATAATCAGACTGTTTCTAACCTACAATAAAAGCTTACAAAAATAACATCTCAGTTTTAGAGACCCAAATAGATAGGTAGTTTGCCGTGTGTTAACGACTGAATTATGTTTGCTGACTGTCTCCTTTCAAGTATCCTGAAGAAACGATGAAAGCTTTCACGCTAGCTGGCAAACGGTTTAACTGCAGTGATGAAAAACGTACTCACTGCTAGTACTCAAAAAACCCCACTGAGATTTTAGCCGTTCCCTGAACAAATAGAACTAGCATGTAACTCCACAGCAAAGCAGCCTGTAGCAAGAGCAGTCAGTTTTAACAACGAACGCTGTGCTAAAGCAAATCAACCATATCTTACAGAAGTTATTACTAATGTAAGGTGGTCAAACGCTAGTACAACAAAAAGAAGGATGTTTCCTATATAGCACTCGGTAATTATTTTTTTTTTTAATGTTTCACACAGTTACAGAAGTCATCCATTAAAGAGACCTAGTACAACAATCTCTGTCAAAAAAACTGCAAGACAAACAACTCCACACCCAGTGTAGTCAATGGACTGTTTAGTGAGGTTCAAAGTAGTATGTTAGCCTAGATTTTTACAACCAAGGGAAAAACATTCAGTTCCTCAAGGTAAACATTTAAGAAAGCCAGGATCTAAATGAGGTTTCAAACAGTGGGACATTTATATGGAAAAGTAAAAACAGTTCTGTATACGTAGTGGCTGTATTGCAAGGACTAGAAAGTCCTCAGGGCTCGCAGCACAGTTTTAAACCATTCCGAAATCAACATTCCTTCTTTTGAACTCACTATCTCCCACAGGGAGCAGGACAGAATTAGTGAATCCAGTTTAAAGCAGATGAGTCTCTGAGAAGCAATGCCATCATTCCCCTTTCCCCTCCTTCCCAAAGCAGTGCATTTCATCAGATTGATGTTCCCCATCTTTTTTTTTACAATAATAGGGGAACCAGGACAGAGTTTTGATCAAATTCCATTTCTATCACCTAGTATCCATCCTCACTCTTACTCACTTTACACAGCTTTGATAAAGCAAATAAAAAGGCTGTGGAAACATCTGATTAGAAGCACGCAGCTAACACTGATGCCAAGCAATTTTGACTAGGCATACGCAGACAGAGCAGACGAAGCTAGTAAAAATTCTAATAATTAGCTGTGTTCTCTCACTATGGTTTTTATCATTTCCAAGTGTTCCTTTTTCATCGACTTCCTGCTTTTATCTGTAAGAACTTTTCCCTGTCAGCCTGAGCACTCTTAGCAGTATAATGTTTCAGATTTTTTTAAATCCATCTGAATTTCCCATTCGCGTCTGACCTGCTGAGATCTCTGAGTTTTCAGAAGGTTTTTTTATTTTTCTGACATGTCAACCTTTTCTCCACAACAACTTCTTTACACTGGCACCTGGTTTTAATTTTTGAATTGCAGCAGTTAAGCTGGACTCCTGATGCGGTGTGTCTGAACCATTTCCATGTTTTTGGACTGCCCTTTTCCTTGTTGTTGTTTTGTTGTTGTTGGTGGTGGTGGTTTTTTAAATTCTCAATTTCTATCTCAATTTTCAAGTAGTTACCCTTCCTTGGATCCGCAGGTTGAATTCATCTGATATGTTCATTATCACTACCTTAAACTTTGAATGAATTCCCCAGGAAAGTATGTGTTTGGTTTGGTTTGGGTTTGGAGTTTTTTTTCTGTTGTTCCCTACCCCCCAAATCAGCGAACAGCCGTATTCGGAATTTCACTTCCAGATGAAATGCTGGCCTGATCCATACAAACAAAAATTTCCCAGTCCACCAAACAGTAATCCTACACATCAAGTGACAAGCATGACTTCCACAACATCCCTAGGACAAAGAGCTTATGATTAAATATAACCTGCCACCAGAAGACACCTTATCAGGTACATTGTAGCAACATCTGTACACTGCAGGAAGAATATCTAACAAGGGAATTGCAAATTGCTGAGAAAGTAACAAATCCAGGATAGTTTCCCTTTTTTTGGACACTTTGTCTGCAAACATGAATAACTGGTTTCTATCTGAGAAATCTACATCCTTTTCCTCAAAAGGGAAACAACAACCAGAGTCCAAACTTTTCTAAGAATCTTCACAGTGCAAGTAATCCGAAGAGAAGAACCCTTCACTGGGAGCTGTCCCAAGCCACCACAAAACATGCCTTAGTGAAGCCCGCACAGCCGAAGCAGGCAATTTGCCCTTCACAAACAACCAGTCTCCCCATTGCAGCACAGGATCATTCTGCACATAAAAATAGGCACCTTTACCTATAAGTCCAAATGCAGAATGGGTTTTCAAACTCCATTTTTTTTTCCAGTCAAAGTAAAACCCTTTTTTTCTTGAGGTAATATTAGACTATTTCTATTGCCCTGATGTCCAGAAAGGAATTGGCACGGGCAGATGGAAGGAGGTCCCTGAAAAGAGAGAGAAAAAGTATGGTATTGCAAGATTGTGTTGAGAGTCTACTAATTGGAAGAGAACAGGCGCTTCACAGGTGACAATGAAAAGCAACTTCCAAAGGATTTCCTAACAGCAGTAATACATACAACCGTTTTGTCATTTTCATGCTTTCCAGAATCTTTCCTTTAATTTTGTGGATTTCTTAAGCTGCTCTAAGGAATGAGATGGTCTCAGAAGCAGCAACTGTCTTTTTTTTTCCAGAGGAGAGATTTGAGGGGTGTGGGGTAACAAAGGAAGAGAGTAAGTACAGCGAAAGGAAGACAAGACAGACAAAGTTTTTAAAGAAATTCACTAGTTGTTAGAAGCACTATATTACATCTTGCTGTAGGATTTTCTAAGTATTAGAGCTTGCTACAGAAGCACAACAGACAGCTCATTCTGACTCCCCACTCCCCCAACTCATTTATTTAACACCTTTAAAGAACAATGGGTATAAACGAAAGGTGTACAACAGCTCCAAACAAGCTGCTGCTTTAGGTTCCACCACACACACAAATTCCTCCTCCAATAATATATTTATGCTAATCTTATGCAAGTCTGGTGACCATGACCAAAAAAAACCAACAACAACAAAAAAAACAAAACCAAACAAAAAACGACACACACTCGAAAATCCCCAAATCAGGTACTCTGAACTCTTTCTAGCCTCCTGTTACATAAGGACCATACCGTAAGTCCAGTTACGCAACTCATAAGTCTGCACAAAAATTTGTTTCATAAACTGAACTAATCTCACGTTCCCAAAATCTTCTAACTTCAATTTGCTACCAAACATTCACAGGTTATACGAGTATGGAATATTCAACTGTAAAAAGAGTTCCTTCCCAGCACCATCATTTTTTTATTGTGTGAGAGGCCTCCTGTCAATATTGCTCTCAGTAGAAGGCTGGAATGGTTTAATAATTTGCAGTTTTCCATACACATTTCTGGATTCCTAGAAAGCCAATACTTTTCCCAATACAGTGTTTATCGTGCATACCCCTACTTTCTGGCAAGGTGATCAGCAACTAGTGCCCAGACCGAAAGGTCGGGTCTGGTTATGACCGTTTTTGGACTAGACAGATCTAAGAGCAGGGACGCCACTGAAGGGAAACTTCTTGATACTCCAAGAGCGTCTCATATTATTACCACAGTTAGTTCGCCCAGGGAGCAGCACAATGAGCTAGGTAACAGAAACACAGCTTCTAATTCCCAAGGCAGATCAGCAACCTATTGGCAAAAGATAAATGCTACGTCCTCTTACTGCATGCTCAACATCAGACTGTTCCTTTCCTGTACAACTCCTTGAACAGGTCTTCGGGGAACTGACACTACCACTACCAACC